GAAGCAGCGGCCCAGAACTCTGGGGAGATCCTCACATGTGCGTGTCCCAATGCCAAGATGATTGTCACCGCGGGCACCAGTTCGGTTGTGACCATTTGGAAATTTGACGCGAATCGCAAGAGTCTCAATGTGAAGCACTCGCTGCATGGTCACACGGATGCGGTGACATGTCTGGCAGCGAGTGCTGCATACAATGTGATTGTCTCCGGCTCTCGGGATGGCACTGCCATCGTTTGGGACATGTCCAGATTCACATTTGTGCGTCAGCTGCGCGGGCATGCTGGTGTCGTAGCTGCTGTTTCGATTAATGAGCTAACGGGTGACATTGCCACTTGTTCGGCCACGTGGTTGCACGTGTGGTCCATCAATGGTGATGCCCTGGCCATGGTCAATACGTGCGTTGGCAGTGCGGATCGCATGCAGCAGATTTTGTGTGTGGCATTCTCACAAATCAGGGAATGGGATCAACAGAATGTCGTCATGACCGGCTCCACCGATGGAGTTGTGAGGGTGAGTGCTCCACATAGTCTTTATCCATGGATAATTCCATGATTTCTTCCCCCTTAGATGTGGTCTCTGGAGCACACACAAGTTCCCATTGATCGCAAACTCAAACGTGGCGTTGAAGTCGGCTCGCAGGACAAACCCGACACTGCTTCTGCCGATAAAATTAACATTTTCAAGCAAATGAAAAGCCTCTCACAACCAGAAGGAGAAACAGGTAAAGTTTTGGCATACCATTGTGAAAAATATTGCTAATAGTTTCTCTCTTTAGACATTGTAAAATCCGCCTCGGAGAGCAGCATTTCAGAGGCCTCAGAGCACAGCAAAGCAGAGTCGCTCAAGTCGGAAGAACGAGCTGAAGAAGAGTCACTAAAATCCAAAGAGAAAGCGGAAGCAGCAGAGGAAGATAAGATACGCGAGGAGCAGCAATCCCCAGTGGAGCGCAGAAAAAGTTCCATTACAGGGGCCAAGTCGCTGCATGAAATGAAATCTGCGACAGTCGAGGCACCCGGCTGTAGTTCGGATGCAAAGGGAAATGAAGGTGGGCAAAATGAAATAACTTTAGCCATAATTCCCCCTTACTCTTCTCTCTCTATGTATTCCTAGAAGATGCCCATGCTATTAGGCCAAGTAAATCAGACACCAGTCTGACCGATGGTTTCGTTTTGATAGACAATGACAGACAACGAGGCGATCAGGCTTTAAGAAAGGGTAAGCAAAGATAGATCTACAGTATAGCTACAATATTTAAACGTAATGTGTTAATTTTCTTTATGGCTAGGCTTCAAATGGCAACGTCAATTAATGTTTCGCTCAAAGTTAACCATGCACACGGCATATGATCGCAAGGATAATGCAGAGCCCGCTAGCATTACAGCACTCACCGTGTCGAAAGATCATAAAATCTTATATGTTGGTAGGTACAGCAAATAAAAATCAATTTAAAATATATTACAAACGATTTATATGCTGCATAGGTGATGCTCGTGGTCGCATATTTTCATGGAGCGTCACGGAACAGCCAGGACGGGGTGTGGCCGATCATTGGCTAAAGGATGAGGGCGCCGATCAGTGTGTTAAGTGTCATGTGAAGTAAGTTCTATCTAACAAATTCACTCCCCTTGGCGTTTTATATGGTATTTGTTACTCGTAGATTCACGCTGTATGAGCGCAAGCATCATTGTCGGAATTGTGGTCAGGTTTTCTGCAATAAATGCAGTCGCTTCGAGTCGGAGATCTCACGGTTGAGGATCCTCAAGCCTGTGCGGGTGTGTCAGGCGTGCTTTAGTCAGTTGCGCTCCAATTCGTTGGATAATTAGGTTGGAAACAAGTTTTCCAGTCGCTGAAGAACCGCAGGAGCAAAGTGTACCTATAAATTATTTAAAAGAGATAATTTACTTTATAATATTTACGCGCATAACCATTTAAAAGACGTTTAAAAGGGGCATTCAGTGATGTTTGGTAATTGTAAAAAAAACTTAATTTTTAGTTTCCATACTTAATGATTCATTTTTAAACATTTTAAAAATTTAATTTTTTAACTAAATTATTTAATTATTAACTTCGTTTTTTACGATAATTTTTTAACCAAATGAAAGAGTTGAGCTAAAAAAACAACAACCAAAGGCTGTTATATGATTTTATATTTTAATTATACACAAAATATAATTTTAAATGAATTTTTTTTACAAAAAATACACAGTTGCAATATAACTTATACAAAAGAATTTAGTTATTACAAATATTTATTATACACCGAAATACGAAAAAGAATACGATAATAAATGTTGCTTATGGACAATTTTTCTAGTAATGTAAACGTTCTATAAATATTGTGAGAGGCGCACAACACAGAAAGAGTCTATTAATGTTACCAGAGAGCTAGCTAAACGTATGTAGTATTCCCCCCGTCAGCAGTTGGAGAATAGCCACATCCAAGAATAATCAAAAAGACAAACAACCACGAAGCACCGCCAGTTATATCAATTAAAAATCGAAAAGGGAGACAAAACTTTAGACACACTTTTTTGCTAGCCAAAACTCACGAGAATCAGCAGAATAAGCATCCTTTAGGGATACTTGGAACACGTTTTAGAACACAACACACAAACCTCACGACACGTAACACAAAAAACCAACCTAAATATATCGTATATGCTACGGAAAGCAAGTAGATTTTTCTTTATAAGTAAACTACAGAAAAAGAATTACTTCCACAAAACAAGAACAAAATAAATAAATAAAAATCAATCTCTGAAAAAGATGCATGAAATGGAAACTTAATTCTAAAAAGAGCAATAATAAAAAATTGCACATTAAAAAACAGTTTAAAAAAAACCTAAAAAAAAATATTATAAAGTAAGACTAAATCGGAACATTCGCTGTCATAAATTCTTAACATTTTCTTCTTCAACTTCAGATCTCAAATATGCTTTTTCTTCCGTGAATTTTCGTATGACAGCAAATCATTCAATCCAGCAAAAATAATGTAAATACGAAAGACAAATAATACGAAAGAAAATACCATACAAATTAGAGAGAAAAATACCCTAAATATTAGTGACAACAAATTAGTTAAATAAATTAGTAGTGGATGTAGAAACAAAAGAAGAAGAAAACAGCAGATAAAAAATTCGGTATTTTGTAGAGAATCTACATGTTGCATTGATAATAATTTACAAATATTACGAGTATATATGTAAATGTGAATGTATTTCAATTATATCGAATATACAATGCCCCAATCCCCCCTCACTCCCTTTTACTACTCCTTCCTCTGTTGTAACAAATACCCGCTAAAAAACTATCCAAAGACTTGAATCATCAGAAAACAAAACTATACAAACCAAAAAAACACATCTCAAAAACTGAAAACTATGCATCTAAAAGACTTCAAAATGTTACATTTCAAAAACAACACAAAGAGACAAAGAAAATATTATACGAAAAACAGCAAACCCCTCAAACGAACCTATATTAATAAACTATTACAAAATACCAAAAAAAAAACTAAGAAATATAATAATTATATAAAAATAATATATATATATATATTAATTGTTAGTTTGTGAGATACGCAGATAAATCAACATCTACGAAATATGCGAAAATGAACAACAAATACAAATAAACAAAATGAGAAAATGTTACGAAAAAAAACACAGTTTTTAATGGGTATAAAGAGAGAGAAGGGAACACAATTGTTATGGGGAAACGTAAAGAAAACGATCAGTAACGTGCGACGCTTCGCACGCGTCACAACTATTATACCAGGTACTGGTGCGTAATGTAAGTATCATCGATGTGTAAGCGGCCACACATCGAAGCCAGCTACATTCACCCATCAGACATGATGATTTTCCATACAACAAACTGATGTAGTTAACATGTCCTAGATGTTAGATGTCCTAGTTAGATGTCCTAGGAGCAGTTTACAAGTGATGAATTTCACCAAAAACTGAGGCATTTATAAGGGAGGAATTTCACTTGAAAGTAATGAATAGTGAAGGTTTTTCTGAAAAAAAAAGACTTGTGTAAATTGAGGATAAAAACTTTTTATTTATATTTATTTATACAACTTGAGATTTAATTTCAGTTGAATCCTGTGTTTTTACAGAAAAGACATGAAATTAATTAATTAATAAATATTTGATTTGGTTTGCTTTTATGTTTAAATTCATAACTGTAATAAGATTGCCAAGTACCCAAAGAGGAAATTTAATAATTGTCTGAAAAGACAGATCTTAAATAAAGTGGAAAAATGTTTTAACTTACTCACAAATCGAGTAAAAACTGAGAATTATTGTGCACTGTACTTACCTAACAGTTATTTTTACATTAAATAAAGCGAGAAGGGATGTACTTTTATGACTTTTATACTCGGTACTGAGTTAGTATATCTGTACCTTCTTTTTTTTTAAGTTTTTCTACATACATATGTCATCTACATTTAACTCACTTCTCACGCCAACACGCTCTGTGACTTTTTTATTCTGGCTATAATAATGATTCAGCCTAATCCTAATTCTGTGATCTGATAGATATGGTCATTCCCTACGGAACTGCGTTTTTGGATTTCTTTTATCTTTAAAATAGTGGATACAGAAAATTTTCTCCTTTTGTGGCTACGAAAGGTAGTAGGAGTACTAGTACTAGTCTCTGAGTACTCATAAAGAGGGACAGACGGACAGACAGACACGGCTATATCGACTCGTCTATTGATGTTGATCAAGAACATATATACTTTATGGAGTCGTTTTTTCACTTTCGAGCCAAAATACAAAATACCCTATTTACTCTTCGAGTAGCGCGTATAACATTTTTTTTTATATTCCATCTTTTATAGTCTATCACAAGAAGTCAGAATACTGTAGTGTTATGGCGAAATAGATGTTTAGAAGGTGGTCACGAGTCGATAGTGAATTAGCTTGAAATTTGTAACGTTGTTTTGCCAGTAGACGGAGCGTTCCTGCGCCTAGATGAAGTCGCTCAGCTCTTTAGTGCTGGCGTCCATTCCAATTTGAGTTCCACGCTGGTTTACCTCCCGATCTGCCCGAGGCACCGCGTCCGTAGTTGCCACCGGAACAGTAGCTGCCGCCAAATTGACCTCCTGCCGACATGCGTGTGCACCGGCCGGAGATACAGCTTCTGTTGGAGCAACTACCGTTGAGGCAGCTTCCATTGGAGCAGCTGCCGTTCGAACAACTCCCCATAGAGCAGCTGCCGTTTGAGCAGCTACCATTGGCGCAACTTCCATTGGAGCAACCTTCGTTCGTGAACATCCCAGAGGAACCGTAACCGTAGCTGTTACCCTGCGATGACCCCTGAGCGTAGATATTGCCATAACCGCTGCCATTGTAGTATCCATCCATGGCTATGTCTTGGCTAACTTCTGTGTAATCAAATTAATTTTTTATTTATTTTTATTCACACATTTTTACTCACTTGCAAGTAATTTTTTTCTCGTCAAATTGGACAAAACAACGTTTCAATTTCCAAACTACAAAATTTAGAAACACTCCAGAGATGTTGACAGTTTAAGGCCTAGACAGAGAATGAGCTCCGCTCCGAACTACCCTGAACATTTCCCACACAGCCTTGACAGGCAAGGGGAAATCTCGAAAGTCATGGCCTCGTTTGTTTCCGTAAATGTATATATTTTTCGAACTCAAAACTCGAATGAAGACAAGACAGGGGGCATGCGCGAAAATTATTCGAAAAGTGGTGAGTTTTTTGGCTTGCAAAGTGGGCGTGGCCTGCCGCATATTCGGGAAGAGAGATAGAGATATGAGACGCTGTTGAGACGGGGGTCATAGAAAAAAATGCGACTTCTTGATGCCACAAATTTGCCAGAAACGGCTGACGATGTGTGTGCGTGTGCCAGGAAGTGGGGAGAACATGTTTGTGTGTGTAGCAGGGAAAGAGTGGAGGAAAGAGTTTGAGTGGGAGGGTTGCCTGGTTTCTGGTTGATTTACCACCAAACGCCGGACGTTGACGTCGACTTCGTTGCCTGTGCCTGTGTAAATGACTTTGCATTCTGACTGGTTAAATATAACCGCAGGATTGTATTACAGCGAGTGGGTGGGGTATAAGGGGGCGTTGAGTGGGTGGGACCATTATATAACCACGTCACGAATCCTCTGCCTTAATGCTTTTACGTAATGGCCAAGAGTTTGAGCCACAAAATCCCCCCACTTGCCATAAACCAGAAATTACAAAACCCCACCCAGTAAGACGTAACCGGAGAGCGCTCTTCTAACCTGTAACTGTATGTGTATCTCTTCCAACTGTATCTGTGACTGTGTTTCTATGCGTATGTGCAGCTCTTTCCCCCTCTCGTTTTCAGACTGTCGCAAAAGTCATTTCAATTTAGAGATGGAGAGTCAGTAAATCAACCCCTATAAACATACCAACAACACCAGCAACGGCAACCCCACAGATACAATCCATCCACATCCACACCCACAACGACCGAAGGAACGGGCAGGGGACTCCCGGCCAGTCGCTTGTCGAGGAAACGCCATTGCGAAAATGCCGCTAACACACACAGCTAGAGCCACACATACATACTTATAGCTGATGCCACCCAACACACATGTGCATAAGATACAGACATAAATTCATACAGTCAGACATACAAATATATTCTTATATATCCATGGCCCCCACACACATATGCGTCATGCCCCCATATCCATTGCGATGCGTTGGATGCCATGTAGAGCGTTCTACGTGGCATCCAATGGAGTCCTTTGGCTGCTCGAAAGTGCTACAGTTTTCACTTAATGGTAAAAAATATAAGTTTGTCAAACCTTTTAAGTAGATTTTCTAATTTTAAAGAAAATATTTATGGAAATCTAATGGCCAATGCATTAAATGTACATATGTACATTTAAATATTCAGGGTACATTCGAGTATTCCAATAGTTTTTTTTAGTTCTCTAGTAAATCTTTCAGTAGCATTCATTATTGAAGTTTGAATACATTTCTTTATTTTTTTGTTATTTTATTTTTCTATATTGTTATATTGTTTTGTATGTACTCGTATTATTTGTTGCGAGTTTTCTGCATTCTGTAGTATTTTCCTATACTATCTAGTGTTCGCTTTGAATCAAACCCAACTTGTTTAGCTTTGAAAATAAATTGTACACATGGTCTCAAATCCATTCAATTACAGTTCCATTAATACACACATAAGCAAGGACTACCCCATCGACTTATCCCTTTGCGGCAACCCTTTTACAAGTTGCGCACCCAAATGACTTGAACGGTTTAATGGACCCTAAACTGTAGCGCCCTTTCTTGCAAAGCCACAGAGAGAGTGAGAGAGGGAAAGCAAGAGAGAGCGAGATCCTGACTTTAGAACTAATAATCCGACAGCCTACAAGAAGCGCAGGAGGATGATGGCAGCAGGACCGGCAGAAGGCAGACGTCAGAAGCAAAAGCAGAGGCAAAGGCAGGGTCGAAAAAAGCGAATAAAAATCGAGAGAAAGCCAGGAGGGTACACCCTGACTCCAGAAGGTAGATATGGCATGGTATTTGCCGAGCACTGCAGAGCAAGAAGGCGCAAAAGCACAGAGTGCAAGAGAGAGAAAAAGACGGAGAGAGAGAGAGAGAGAGAGAGAGCGATAGCTGAAAGCACGACGCCCCATCGTTGGGTTTCGGTTCGTTCCATGGCTAGCTTTTCGTCATTCTTGACATTTTGTGGTGAATTGTCGAAAGCCACAGGATACGCTGCGACAGTGTGCGTGTGCCAGGACATGTCCTGTGACTCGACTGTGTGTGCCAGTGTCTGTGTGTGCGGCTGGGTGGGGATGGTGAAAAAAACAAAAATGGTGGACGGCCAGGAAGCCGGTCCTCATTTGCTGTAATCGCATCAGGGGCCGAGGGGACACGGCAAAAAAGGGCGTTTTCCGGTTGGTTGCTCGAACACAGTTCGCTCTCCTGCTCCCCCGCACTCCCGCTCTATCTCACTCTGTCTCTCTCTCTATCTGCATGTCTCTGTGTGTGTGTCCAGTTGAGGGGGTGGACTGGGTGGGTGGCTTCTCTGCTCGCCCACTCGCAAGGGATGAAATGTAACGTTTTGTAGCTTTTCGTAAATTTTCGACTTTCGTTTGGTTCTTCTCCTTTTTTTTTGTGCCTTCCATTTGGTTGCTGTTTTTCCTCTGCGTTTTCCGCTTGCCGCTCGCTCTTCCTTCTGTTTTTATCGTTTTGTGGCAGCAAATGTGCAGGGGGTTGGGTGGGTGGGCACTGCCTTTGGCTTTGCCTCCTGCCCTCCTTGTCAAATTGACTGCAAGAAAGGACCAACAGACCTCTCCTCTGGCAGCTTCACTTTCGTAATTGGCGGTTCTGGTCGCCGCCGCCGCCGCCGCCGTTGCTGCTGCTGCTGGGCTCTGCCACATGCCACGGCCTCATCCGTGTGCCTCATTCACAGTTGGTCCGTCAGACCAGCCGATCCGCAATCCGCACACGCGTCTCCAAAGCAGGACAGCAGCGCAGTGACTCCCAAAAAAGTTCGATTCGCATCGGCAATACCAAAAATATGTTTCAAAAATTAAAAGAAAACGTTAGGAAAATGTTATGAAAAATGCGTTTGTGACGAAGTGATAGAAAAATTCGTAGTGACACGGAAAACTTATACGTTAAGAAGTAATAGGAAAATTCTGTATGCCACGGAAAAGTGTGTGCCAAGTGCATTTTCTCATCAGCTCTAATTAAGGATAAATAACAAGAGATTAGACAAAAGTTGTTGTTAATTGTAATAATTCAACGAAAATAGTGACTGCAACACTGTGGAACATAAATCTAAGCAAGCTGGATACCCTAGGGTTTAAATATTTCCATCAACGGAAAATGGGCACAGGTAAATGACACACCTTTTGGAAGTTCGTGCTGCAAATTGATATTTTCCCGTCGGTTTGTTGTCAGAAAATTATTCGAAAAGCCGTCGGTTTTCATCATTCTATATATATAATAAATGATTGCAGGTTATACGGGATTTTAGACTTTTTTGGGTTTTACTTGTCATTATCCTTTATGAATTTCAAAACGTTAACAAAACTATTTATTTTTTTTAATTTATTCAACTCCACAGTTCATGTTTTGCAGATTCAGATGCAGATATTTATGTGGAAGATGTGATAAGTCAATGCAAAACATTAATCTAAAATAGGTAATATTATTTTCTTTATTTTTATTATCATATTTCCTTTTATTTTACAACTGTGTATTATTGACTGGTTTTCCTGAATATTTACCTTCTTTTTCTTAATTTATGTAGAAGATATTGCCAACAGTCGTATAGAATTCGTACCAAATTTACCTTTTGAATTTCAAGAAAAGTCTTAAAGGAATAGCAAACTGTACATGTACATATGTACATGAAATATACGCAATATACATACATATGTACATATTTATGTAAGAATATGTATGTATGTATCGCAAGGGCTTCGTATGTATGTACGAAAACCGAATTGACTTAATGATTGCAAATGGACTTCTCAATTTTCGAATACATGGGAATACAAAAATGGGAATAATTTGATCAAAGCACATCCAACGTCTTGTATTGGACAGCTTGAATTAAATTTGAGTTCCCAGATCTTTATTCCATTATGATTTCGGATTTATGCCCCACTCTCTGCAAATAAAACTCTCACGCCCAAAATGCAAAACTCTCACGTTCTGCCCACACCCACAGGATGGTAATACAGAGTGCTTGAAAACTCTTTTTGGCCTATGAAAACATGTCCGAGATTTCCATACCAGAAAAGCATATTCCATAAGACAAACTAAAAAAACAAAGCTAAAAGAAGAGTGCACAATGCGATGATGGCATAAGTAAACAGAAATATGTAAAATCAACAATAAAAATATATTTTAAAAAAGAAAACAAGAGGCCGACAAAAGGTTGACATCCCGATGCAACCCTCTGGGCAGAGGACAGGGGAGACAGGCGGAAGGTGTTAACATGCTGCGGACAATTGGCCGATGCGCAGGGTGTGAAAATTGGCAACACGCGCCGGCCACAGAACCCGAACCGTGAAACCCCGGAGGGCCGCCAAAAACCCCAGAACCAGACCCAACCACCAAACAAGCGACAATATGTCAAATGTCACAGGACAAAGGAGCTCAAACAAAGGGCAAAACAGCACGATGAGCAGCGCTAGGCGGAGGCTGAAGTGGGAGAGCGTTTTATTTTGACAAGTGCCGAGTGTTGAACTTAATTTGTGAAGCGTGCCACACAGTCAAAGGCATAATGTATATGTATTTTCCTGCTCCTGTTGTGGGTGTGTGTGTTTGAGTGCCATTTTCACTTGCTAATCCGCGGCACAACACACGCGGCAGCCGCGCCGCAAAGTAGGCAACCGAATCTTTGGTGCGTGACACATGGTATTTGTCTTTGGGGGCACCAGACAGGAGACACAGACGCCCTTTGAGGCATAGAGATTAGTGGCAAATGAAAAGTTAAATATGTCGAGAGTGGGGACAAAAGAACGGGGGGACGTCAACTAAAAATGCCTTTAAAAGTGTATAAATTATAAATTACATTGGGTTTGACAATATTGTAAACTAAATGATTTTTGTGAGGATTTCTTTCTCCCACAACGTGGCTAAGCAGTTAAGAGAAATACTCCAAAATTCGAATAACCCTTCCCGGGAGGATTATCTCTGGGTTAAAATTAATCATTTTCCTTCTCTTCTTTTTTATACCCCTTTTAGCGGGTGACCGCCTACTGGACATACCGTGCAAGGTGTGTGGCGATCGAAGCTCGGGCAAACACTATGGCATCTATAGCTGCGATGGTGAGTCCTCTGCTCCTACCATAATAATAATTCCCCCATGTAATCCTATGATAATCCCTTATGTCCTTCCAGGCTGTTCGGGCTTCTTCAAGCGCAGCATTCATCGCAACCGGATTTACACCTGCAAGGCCACGGGGGACCTCAAGGGCCGCTGTCCCGTCGACAAGACCCATCGGAATCAGTGTCGCGCCTGCCGCCTGGCCAAATGCTTTCAATCGGCCATGAACAAGGATGGTAAGCGATGCCCCTACCCAACCCAACCCCTTCTCGCCTTTCACACTTCTGGCGCCCACAAGTCCTTTGTTTTACTTTCAAAATACACTTAATTATGCAGGAAATTAGCTCCAATTGCTTATGCCCTCTCCTCGCCCACGTCAACGATTTTTGGCATAAATTACACTTGGAACTGGGGAAAAGCAGGAAAACCCAAAAACCAAAATGCCGCGGGCTTTTACTTCTCGTTTTGTGGCCATGCAAATGAAATGCCAGCTTGGGGTTTTTGCTGTAGTTGTCATTAAGCTGATTATAAATTATGCGAGGTTTTTCCACAGCTCCCGCTCCCGCTCTGTCTCCCCCGACTTGGCTGGCAGGAGTTTTCCCAAGGAAAAGTGTTGAACCTGATTTTTATAATTGAATTGATTTGTTTTTGGAATGGCAGTGCATTTGAGAAGGTAAAGGGAGGAAAAAGGGCAGGCGAATGCCAAGACTCCAGAGTATCTCAAACAACTTTTTGAAAAAACTATGATGATTCTTCCCCTAAGTTGTTGCTTTTATGCCACAACAGAGAAAGTCCTCTTATCAAGTTGGTTAAACATGAAGCATAAAACTGATCACTAATAATGACATCGGTCTTAGCTGAGGGACAGTACCATAATACTTCGTCCTATTACTGTCATTGTTTTGGCTAAAAAACATGACTCTAAAGTGCGTGAAGTATCTCTACCCTCCATGTTCGAGATACTTATGGATCGAATAAAACTAATTCAGGGCCCATGCGGTGACAAGATTCATAAGCGTCGCACCTTTTGGCAGTTTTTTTTTAGTTGTGGCTCTATTTATTGGTAACCACCATTAATATTTGGTAATGGTTTTAATCTTTGCTTTTTAATGTTGGGAAATCCAGTGAATTTTAATTAATTCCCATAACAAATTCCCACCAATGACAAAATGACAAAGAGCACAGTGTAGTTCAGAACATTTTGACAAGACGATGATGATTGTTCGCTAACATTTTCAATTGTATACCCCAACAGACACAGAATTCTTAACAAATCAATTATAATAATTATAATCAATAATAATTAATAATTATAAATTGGGCACTTCAATACATTATTCTGATTAGGAATAAACCACTTATCAACTACAATCATGCCTTTATTAAATGCCTTATTCTGAGGCAAACTAAAAAGTGCACCTATCAGACATTATCTGGATGATAATATTAATGTTGCTTCCGTTTCGGAGGGATATCCACTGAATGAAGTTTCTTTCAAAATTAAGCCATGCCGGGACGAAAGTCCGCAATTTTAAAGAAATTATCTATCAGACTTTATTATAGCCACAATGAAGAAATGAATTTGCAGTGTGTAATTTATGCTGTTCCCCGTGTACCCCAATTAGTCGCAATGCTCGATTCCCTTCTCATTATTTGGTTCAACTTGTTTCCAAATTGTTAGTCTAATGGGCTCTGCAGGGTTAACCATGATTTGCCAAGTCATTCCCTCCAGTCCAGTATCCTCATTTTTTAGTTTAGGTTAGATTAAGGCGGTAGCTGGGGAAGAGCCAGGTCAAACGCAAAATAATAATATCCAACACAAACCTGTAAATATAATTCGGTTGTGATATTCATTGATCCAGGAATACCTAAACGAGACAGCGAACAATTATATACAATACTGACTGATGCTGATGACTTCGGTTGATCTCACCATCTATGATACTTGGAGTTATTTCATACGCCCTAGACAGGGAAAGTGAATATTAGGAGGTTCCTCCTAACGGTTGGTTGTTTTATACCCCCAAACGAACAGTCGAATCTAATCAAATGCAATATTTTGGGGATTCCGTTTCGACAGCAAAGTATAAATTAGTGTCTTATCAATTTAAATTTTGGAGTGCCTTAATTATAAGTGTTATTTTCAGAAATTACTCACGTCTACGTCTCTCTCAATCTCACATCGCTTGCACCGCCCCACCCAAGCAATGGGCCATCGGCCATCGGATGGCCATAACCAAAAACCCAAATACACAGCTCAATGCTGTGTGCTGCAACAATGCTAGCTTTAAAGCTCTTAAGCCAACATTAAATGTAGCATAAAAACACATAATAGCGTTTGCAAGAGGGCGGTGGGGTCCGGCGGAGAGGGGAGGTGGTGATTCGTATATACGATTACGATTCGAGAGCCATCATCCAGTATTCAGAGTAGTCAGAGTATTTGTGCCCTATTCATGGGTTCACTGCGCACAGAACAGGGACAGGGACACAGGGACACAGGGACACATCATCAACAGCGTGAGAATCGCTGCAGATTCTACCCACACGCAAAGGTCTCTCCTCTTTGCTCGCTTTTCCGCTTTTCCCGTGGAGGGGGTGGGCCAGCAGTCTGGTGATAGAGCCGGAATCGGGAAGCGATTGACAATGTGCACTTAATAGCGGATTACACGCATTATCCCCCATCGCTGTTTGCTGTTGCTTCTGCTGTTGGAAATGCGACTAAAATGTATTGGCAATCAAATGATGATGCTGCCCACCCGAAACACCGAAACTTAGACGTCAGTCAAAATACAGACCTTCAAACCTAGGGGAGAATTTATGGAGAAGCGTTGGATGTCTGCCCAAAAAGAAAGAGAAGGCGAGGCAGCAGAAGAAGCAGGTGGTTTACGTATGTACTTGTCCCAAAAGTGGGAGAGAGAATACTTCTTCCCTGAAGTGTAGGCAAAAAAACAATAATACAACGGGCTAAAGGAGAACAACACACAAAGCGAACACAAGTATAGAGGGAAAGCTAAGAAAACCGGCAAAGGAAATGCTCTAGAAAAAGAGTTCCTAAAGGTATATTTAGATGTCTTTCGAAGCACAACAATTGGCAGCGAAAGTTAAAAACATCCAAGAATTAAAGAAAAAAGATTCCATAAGGATCCCATTAGGGAGAGTCTGTAAACAAAAACCCATAGAGTGGCCAGTAATTAGATGAGATTTTAGGCAGACAAATACTTTCTTCCAGCACTAAATAATATCCAGCCTAAAATTTATGAAACACATCAATAACCATTCCAAAGAAACATCTCTGCACCACAAAACTTTCTTTGTTTTTTCAAACTTTTGCCTTGTTATCGTTCCCAGAAAGACCCATCAAAGCCACACACTTCCCAGAAAGAGTATCCTTTCAAGCCCCCAAATCTCCTCACAGAAAGAGCATCCATCCTTTCACATTGCTGGCCAAGAAGGAGTAACACTAGAAGCATGGGGGGCAATCCTCCTCGTAGTCTGCTCTGACATGTCGCATGTTTTTCTGTCTCTTGGCATTCTTTTTTTTTGGGCGGAACATTTTCTTAGTTTTTGGCCGCTACAAAGCCTCATGTTAGGCTGCCTTTTTGGGGTTTTCCTTGGCTGGTAGCCGTAAATAAACAACAAACATACATAGACACATAGACACATAGACACCCCCCAAGATACACCCCACAGACACAGACGAAACACCATTGTAGTAGCATCCACCAACAGACAGATACAAAATGCTTTTGTTGTTTAGAGCAAAAAGCAAAAAAGCCACAAAAATCGTTCAAGGCACGTTTGTGTAAGAATTTTGTGTGTGTGGCACGGGCTGGTGGCTGCCACATGCGAGTAGTAAAGTTGTTAAGGGAGGGGTTTGGGGGTGGCACGCTCTGGCACCCTGCTGTGGTTTGCCATTTTCTAGTTTTTGGGTCTCTTCTTTTTCTTTTTCTTTTCCTTTTGTTTCCCTCTGTTTGGGTTCCATTCTTTTGCTTTTTATATGATTTCTCGACGTTGCCAAAGTGCCAATAAAGTTAATTGAAAAGATGTTTGCCCTGCCAGCCAACAACAGTGTTGGTTATCGAATGGGAGTGTTGGCAAAGGCACTGTTAGTGCTAGAAAGGTAACTTTGGTTTGGTTTCGAGGGACAGTAGGTAAAAGTCTGCAACTTGTGTGTTTCCAGTGTTGTTTATCCGTTGAAAGTTCAAGAAATCACCTAAAGTCCTAGAATAAAGATAATAAAAGACAAAATATCTACACATTTAGAGATGTTATTCCAATTAAAAATCTATAAATCTAAGATGTTAAAACACCTAATCGTCATTCTCATGGCTGATAAAGGCATTTTTCCAACCCACAACACCAGTGTCCTTCCCACACCAAAACTGGCATCATGGCCGCATTGGCCAACAATCCCCTGACTCCTTCCTGCCCAGAGCACTTTAGACTCTGACAAATAAGTTATTATGGGAAAATATGACAAGCAGCGCACATTTTTTCTACGCACCACCGAACCAACGCCGTCCACTGCCTGACAGTCTTATAAATGTTGGCTACTTTGTATGCTAATATCCACCACTCCAAGAATGAGAGAAAGAAAGCGACCAAATACCGAAAGGAACAAGTAAAAAGAACGAAGAGCTGGCAGGAGAGCTCTTCTAACAAATTATGTTGCCACTTGTCACATTTAATGGTATTTGCATTTGTATACTCGCACACCAAAGTGTCAGAGAGCGGCATCATCATCATCAACACACGCATCCTTCGTCCTTCCTGGTACTCCTGCCTCCCCCTCTACAGTTACCAGACAATTCCTTGCTTTCACATTATTTTTCCTTGGCAAATATTTACGCGGCATTTTAAGCGGATTTCTTCTCATTTTGAGTGATTTGTGTCGCTTTTTCAAATCGCCATAAAAATATTGTCATCTCCCCAGATCCTTGGCAATCCTTGGGAAATTGGGGGGCGGACTGCAGGGTGCGTGGGAAAATTGGGCTCCTTAAACCACTGGCTGCAGGGTGCGTGATGAGCCGAAAAGTAATGTCTAATGGGGCATCTAATGGCAATGAAGACATTTTTTGTATGGTTGGACAACTGCAAATTTTCGATGTGGGCGAAGAGGGATTATCATTAGCAGGAGGAGATGTATTATCCCTATAAGACGATATATATTTACATATATAAGATGATGTATCGAATTAGTCTTGAGTGAGCTAGAAAATGAACTGAATGAAGGGAA